TCTCGCCACGATGACTTGTAACTTCGTGCTAGCACAGATATCGACGGATTCCGTCTACCCAATTTCACTCACAAGTATTGGGTCAACACGTGGTATGGTTTTCCAAAGGTGGTGCACGCTGGGATCACACGGTGGGATCGACTCCTCCAGTCCGATAACATCAGGTAGTCACTTTCCTGAGAAATCGACAAAGGTGAGATTCGAACCCGGGTCTCATGGTCAGAATGCGAAAGTTCTAATAACTCGGCCACGTGCCTCTCTATAAAATATTATGACCCTTCTGTCCTACTCTTAAGTTGCAAAAGTCAGCTCACACATAAAATGGAGTATTGCTATCATATCTGGATTGAAGCTGGCCAAACATCACTTGTCATCCTTGATCGTCCAATGTCGTTGACCCGGCCTTGTATGCGAAACAAAAATGTTGATAACCTATCGCTATTTTCATGGAACATTTTCCGACGAGCTAAAATCCTTAATTATCGAAGTTCAGATCTTTATAGTGACGAATTCGCCACATCCCCTTCGTATTCCATTGGGAAGAAGGAAGTTCCGGTCAGATAAATTCTTTCCATGAAATATACTTCGTGGAATAGACACTTTGATCTTAAAATTTGTAATACTTGCATCTGTTCCAGGGTTCTACACGTGATATACTTTATGTTCGATTTCAGGTTGAATGAAAATTAGCTTCTTGTTTTAGTCAGCGTTAAAATTGTATTTTTTTTCACTTATGAACAGTGAATACGGCAGTAATATAGCGAGATATGTCTAACCGTTTGGAAATTAACTTATAGTCTTCTCCGGATTGATAAGGCTCAATTAATTTATTTTTAAGGGCAGCTGAATGGTCTTCGGTTTTCCTTACGATTTAAACATGACTGAATGTTTAATTTGTAATATAAATTTGTATAGACGTTTTAAGCCATGTTGAATTGATCATTATAAATTGTAGTGAGCGTAAGATGGATAAGATAATCAGCAAATAGCTTCGAAATATTATGATAGCCTTCTGCTGGTTGATAAACCACAAACATTTTCTTGTTCAGCTTTACGGATTACTCTTTGGTTTTCGTCATAATTTAAGAAATGAATGTTGAATTTCTAAAATAAACTGAATAATAATGATTTTTATATTCCACAGAAAGTATAAAATTGTTAAATCCTAACTGTGTCGTGGTCTAATTTACTGCCAAATTCATTTTCCCCTCGAATTGAAAACTTCTGAAAAAAACTATTATAGCTGATTCTGGAAATAAATTTATATATATTTTATTTTACTAAAGAGTAAAATAAAATATATATAATTTTATTCAATACTATCACTTGATAAGACACCAGAGGTGTTGAAACAAAATGGCTATATTTGTAGTGATTTTATAACATATTTATGTTATAATTTTCGAATAAATTATATTTGCTCTACTCTGTATTGAGCACTCTATTTAGAATAGTATTTTTTGGTTATTGGAATTTATTCCGTATACACCAATCCTATACTTGGATATATATATATATATATATATATATATATATATATATATATATATATATATATATATATATATATTCATTCAATTATAAACAAATAATTTATGCAATAATTAATTAAAGATGATCTTCACTTTATTAATTGGATTAAACTTAAGTTCATGTCATGTTATCCATTATCGTAATCTTTTTCATTACGCTCAGCACATTGTCAACCGTTTTGTATTTAAAAGCAAAATGGAAAAAATCACGGTATTGAAAATCAACGAACAACTTTGTATAAATATTCGTACTAATGAACAACATATGGTTTTGTACAATTTGCACAACTGATATGATTTGCCTCCCCTTCTATTCCCCCTCTCTCTGTCTTTCACACACGCACACAGACACACACACACATATATATATATATATATATATATATATATATATATAGAGAGAGAGAGAGAGAGAGATAGTGAGCAGAGTCCGAATTCACTCGAATCTATTATATTCACTTACGTGCTAATACCCTTGTGAAAGTTATTATTCCTCTACTTCTCTCATCAGCTATGGGTCAATGGCAGGACAGACTGGGTTCTATAGCCTTTGATGGCAACTAGCATCGGAGAAGAACAACTCTGAATTCAAAACCTGTGGAGGGTTGTTTGTGGACCTTGTAGCACTTTGAAAAGTGTGGTTCTGCACTAATTATTCACCACTAAAATCAAATGATATGTGTTGGTGTCTGGCTGCGTGTTCCTGTATCCTATACGGAACCGTCATTTAGCTTGATCTGCCTTTACCGGAGCAGGACGAATATTTTCTGTGAAAATTTCTCGGACATTCAGGCCGGTAAATGTTGTTTAATACTGTTTATTATAAACAGAGCATTTACTTAAATATTTGTATCTATAAAAAGAATGTTAAACATAAAAATGTCTTAATATATATATATATATATATATATATATGTATACATATAAATATAGATAACTAGACTCGTTTCGAAAAACCCTCGAATTTTTGATTTGCTAATCAAATCAATCTCGAGGGAAAAAAAGGTTTTAAAAAAAGAAAGAGCTACAAACATGAACTTCTGCCGACAAAAAAATCGCACAGATGCAGGTCTGAAGCCCAATGAAAAAACCCCGATACGAGTAACAACTAACAAAAGAGTTCAATACAACCGTAGAGTAGACCTAGATACACCTAGTGAGCCAGACAAACCTACCTAGGTTTCACCTAAACGGATCGTCAGGGAAAGTTTGGCTAACGAGGCAAAGAGAAACACATATTTATAGGTGATAGCTAAAATCATACCACGTGACAAAAACAAAAAACAAAAAACAACCTAAGTGGTGGGGGTAAATATTTATTAAAAAAAAAAAATCCTCAGTGGAAAGTCAATAACGGGAAAACGTCTAATTTAGTAGCCAAGATTTTTTATGTCTACATACATTGAGAATTTCAGTTTTAGAGTTTAATAGCTGGTTAGGTTGATCATATAAAGCTATGGCTAATTTCTCCTCAGCACATAATTTGCAAAATTTATGGCCTGCTTTATATTTTGGGCATTTTTTTAATATTTCCCATTTAAGGATGGGGTCTATATTATCTTCTTGTTTGGTTTTCCATACGTAGGTAGATAGCGTGGTACTATGTTTAATTTTTGCATTCTTAAAACTACTCGTGTGGTTATAATATCTTTTTTAAATTTATCCTGAGTAGCACCTATGTATGTTTTAGGGTTAGTATCCTCAGTATTTTTGTAAATTTTAACTTGATACACCACGCATTTTTGCTGGAATTTTCCTGTAATGGACAGATGTTTTTGTTTCTACAATTACAAGTAGGAGGATTACTACGTGGATCATTCCTAGTTTTTTTTTTTCTTATTCAATCCATTTATAATAGTCCCTACGTTCGGCATACAACAATAACTAAGTTTTACATTGTTTTTGTTAAATATTTTATGTAACTCAGTTTTTTTGGGGAAATGTTGTCCAGTAAATTAAAAAAATATCTTACCAATTTTAGATTTTACCGCTAAATTGAAAGGGGATTAAACCACAAAAATTTTTCTTTGCCTATTATGTTTATTCCGAGTAATGTTGTGGTTGTCTATATATTCTAATTTATTTTTATGTCCACTCTTAATTAGGGCTTGCTCATAACTTATTTTGTTGGCCTCAAAAATGTCCCTATTGGAGGAATTAGTAGAAAGTCTATACCCAATATTCTTAGAAATATGCCTTATAATATGGGCTGGGTGATTTGATTTTATGTGTAAATACTGGGGTTCTTGATTTTCTTTTTTATACGGGGATATTGTGCCATTTTGTAAATTCAACGTAATATCTAGATAGTTGGTAATTTTCAAATTGGTTTGTATATCGAGATAAAATCGAATATATATATATATATATATATATATATATATATATATATATATATACACACACACACATATATGTGTGTGCGTGATACGATACTTTTAAAGTATGCTATATTTATGGGTTAAAGTGGTCAATATCTGGAATAGAGCGTAGGTAAATATAAAAGCATACATTGAAGTCAACACCCAGAGGCGACAGTTTGTTTTCTCTGGGCGTTGACTTCAATCTCCAGTGTTATATATATATTTTTTTCAAGATTTTTATTAATTTTCCTAAGATATATATATATATATATATATATATATATATATATATATATATATATATATATAATTTCCAAGAGAATACTGAAAAATTATCAGATCACAAAAGAAATTCTGTTGTTTGATTATTTGGTTATACTTTGAAAAGTAGGTCGAATCGAGAACTTTTCAACACATCTCGTATGATTATTAATATAGATATAGAAATTCAAAATGTTTTCTTTTCTCTTTATCCGTATATATGTATAGATGTGCGTGTATATGTATGTGTGGATAAGCAGGTATATTCGGTGAGAAAGAGAAACATTCTCGCACTAATACACACACATATACACACAGACACATCGGCATTCCCCAGCCTCGTTTATATTCACACGATCTTCCTGATACTAATGCTAACTTTTCTTACTGTATTTCATCCATTAAATCGATATTAACTTGTTCTTCTATTTCATTATATTCCCATTTTGATTTTTTAACATCACTTTCGATATCAAACCCAATGTGCATTGACCTTTATACTTCAACTGGCTGCTGTCTTTACAACACAACTACATACAATTTTATATTTGCTCAGTATTTTTCTGATTACGCTCTCGATCAGGTTGACTGTACACGTTTTGTACATTCCAAGATTTTTTTTCTTTTTCAAATATGGCCGCTTTTGTTGCTTTTTTGATTCTTTACAGTAAGAACGATTCCGTGTATGTTCCATCGCCGCTCCCCTTACTTGGTTAAACTCGTGACATCAAATATTCTTTTTCATTTACTTTTATATTTCCGTCATTTCTGTTTTACAACCTTCAGTCTGCAAAACAGGATACACATCTATTCTTTCTTCTCTAGAACAGCTTCCTTTGAGTAGCATTTTAACCATGTAAATCTATCTATCTATCTATCTATCTATCTAGTAAGTTATTGATAACAGACTAGGACTTGTTCATTTTATACTTTCAGCCTTTCCAGAAGCACGTACGTAGACGCGCGCGTGCATACACACACATTTTCTTTTCACCAATGTTCATTCTATATAAGGCCTGAGGGTCATTCAAAGTAGAAGATTACTGACTGCGGTTATTAGGTGAGAGGTAAGAGTAAGGGGAGATAATAATCCTAGACTTGAGGTTATGACTGTCGTGGTCGGGAAAGTATCTTCCTGGGATTCTGTCCCACATTATTTTCTTAATTTTTCTTGTATTATCTATCTATCTGGTAACCTATGAATTTATTGATAATTGATTAAATGGTATTCACTTTATTCTTTTAACCATCCAACGCGCATGCGCGCGCATGCACACACATTCACCTATATAAAATCCACGCACGTCTGTAGTAATATCTAGTATTTTATACGTATATGCAAAAATGTTTAAACCTTTTATATTTAACCACTTTTCTACTGCGTATTCTCCTAGTTTTTTCTTAGTGCGCTTGAAATATTTATGCATGCAAAATTAGAAAAAAAGAATATTTGTTAACTTAAAATTACCAGATCGATATATATCTAAAATTATTTTACACGCTATTTCCTATAAACTTACTCGACCGACCATGAAATAATATATATACATATATATATATATATATATATATATATATATATATATGAAAATATATATATATATATATATATATATAAAAAGAAAATAATATATATATATATATATATATTATAAATTCATGAATCATTCATACAAAAAACAAATATAGAGGCTAATGATTTAAATGGCGAGAATACATCTTCGCAAACAATATAAATGAGATACATCAACCCCAAACCTGTATATGAATGATATGATCCCTGTTCATAAATTCCAGTTGTCTTTTAATATATATATTACTTTCACTTTACAGTGAGGTCCATCATGTACAGGCCTGGAGCCACTCGAGAGTTACAGTAACAGGCATAGTTTATGTAGAAGGGGAGAAGATTGTTGTGACCAGGGAAACATCCTATTGAGAGTTAGTTCCACAGGTCATTGTTTCTCGGGAATATGCTGCTCGAGTGGAACTTGCTTCTTACCAGTGGAATACATGGTGAATGATGGTGGTTTGTTAAAATGTGAGGAGCATATAGCGGGTTTTAGCCATGAAGGAGAGAACTGGCAGAACCAAAGAATATAGCTCGTTTGAGTACTTTCCATGGAAATAGCGATAGAGCAGTAAGTGACTTTCCACATCTCGTCTGTGAGAACGGGGTTGCAGAGTGCAAAACAATTTGTCACCCACAAGGACGCGGAGACGGTTTTTGACTCTATCGAGATTGGAAAGTGAACACTGAGTAGCCCCTGTCCATTTATGGCATCAGTACTCCATGTTAGACCTGATCTGGCTCTTGTAAAGATAGAGGATATCACGTGGGGTCAGGTACAGTGAACCAACCTTTTTACCTGAATCTTTAGCAATCATATGTATGCATTCCACTTGAGGTCAGGGGTGAGGTTAAGGCTCAATATTCGCTCAAGGCAAGGGTCTTCTTTGAGGGGGTGGCATCCATTCATTGTGACTGGTATTATTTCGGATTTTGATCGGATATATACATATATATATATATATATATATATATATATCAATCTAAAAGAGAATATTGAGATCAACACTCAGCGGCGAGAGTTTCTTTCATGCTTAAACGCAATCTTCAGGCAATCTTTATGTGTTTATATAGGAAAGAGACTGTCACCGCTGGGTGTTGACCTCACTGAAGACTTTTATATTCACATAAGTTCTATCTCTGATACTGAGCACTTTAACCCGTAAATACTGTTGCCATATCTGGTCTGGAGTCTCTGCAGTTCATCTCAAAATCCAATGAAGGAACTGCAGTTTAATCAATCCCGTCTTGGCAACTCGACTTGTTCACAGAGGTGATGTACCTTCCCTCTGTCTTTTTTACAAATATTTCCATGGCAACTGCTCTGATGAGCTTTTTTTCCCTGGTTTCACGACTACATGAATTTAAGCGGGCTACTAGATTGGCATATAGGTCCCATCATTTTACTGCTTAAATTATTAAATGTAGCCGCCATTTCTATTCCAACAGTTCCTTTTCTCACACTTCCCTTCAGTGGAATTCACTTTCTGTTGAGGGGTCCACCCCTTTTTATACAAATGGACTCACCCAGTGTATACTTATACTACTACCAGTGATTACCCGAGGAACAGAGTCGAGTCCAGAGTGACAGAGTAAAAGGTTGTAGGTAACCGGAAGAGTGAGGGGTGAGGTAACAGCGTCGTAGGAGTCACAGTGAGCGAGCACGTAGACCCAGTAAGAAGTCATACAGTGATACTTCAATACCAAAGACTATATATATATATTTTGCTACTAATCCGTATTCCTGAAACTACTAACCTGAATTACCAGTTTGTATTATTACGTTGATACATTATTTCCATGTATTCATTCCTGGCGTTTGTTATTTATTGGTACTGGATTTCAACACGGAATCCACAACACTTTCGCTTATTTGTTTCTTCATAACGACAATCTTCAAAAATTGAAATGTAACGTTAATTGCCATCGTCTGTTGTCTTGAACCCAGTTCATCCTTCATCCTTTACTCAATCCCCCTATATCCAGTCTTTTAAAAAAAATATCGCATGCCTTAATGCTATAAGACACACACACACACACATATATATATATATGATAAAAATTTACTTTTAAGGTATGCTATATCTATGGTTAAAAAAATTTGGTAAATATATCTTTTAAAATGAGATGTCAGTATTATTTTGAATTTTGCATAATTTAGACGGCAATTTATCCATCGTGCCCTGTACCTACTTACCTATATATATATATATATATATATATATATATATATATATATATATATATATATATGTGTGTGTGTGGGTGTGTGTGTGTATGTGTGTGTGTATGTATGTGCTATATCACTTGAGGTTTGCCAACAAGAGCAGAAAATATAATGTATATCACATGTAACTCGAAGAGAAAATGCTGACATAGCCAAGATATTAACATTTCACACTATTTCAAATAAAATGTTATGAAGTAAATCGCCGTCATTACTGGAAAGGGCACTAACAGCTACTGAACAAGAAAAACGTTTTTTCCTGAAAAATTATTTTAACTGAAAGAATTTATAAATTTCAACCGAAAGCTGTTCAGTGAATAATGAATGCCAAATATTTCCATCACTTTTACCATACATTTTTCACCAATATTGTTCTTGATATAAAAAATTATATATCGTTATTTCATATATATATATATATATATATATATATATATACGTTGTTTGATATACATAATAATATCACAAACATAGGTTTTGTATAGAAATATTTTAGCGCTGTTAAATGATAGTTTGGGATCACACAATACGTATACACACATTAGACACTATATATATATATATATATATATATATATATATATATATATATGTGTGTGTGTGTGTCTGTGTGTGTGTGTGTGTATATATATAGTAAAAGTATCGATTGATATACTTAATATTTTAGATAAAAATCTTTGTTTATACTTGGGGCTGTATTCAACTGAGAGACAGCAAGATTTCAGATTCTTCCTGTTTTCGTCTTTGCGTTTCGATGCTGATAACTGCATTTTTTCAAAAGTAATTACGCAAACATACTTACTTGCGAACTTTAATGAATTTTGTATCGTAAATTAAGTTTGGTTTATTCCAAATTGTATACTATTATAAAGAATTATAATCTTAAAGGTGTGTACACTAAAAGAATTTTAATAATTTCAAAAAATATCCAAGATCATAGCGCATTTGTTGGGAAATATTGATGAATTTCTACGCCCTTTTTTAATACTTTTAAAATTTCTTTTTCTACCATAAAATTTATTATTTCTATTGTATATTAAGAAGGAAATAGACTTTTATATCTGGAGAATTGGTGCTCTTTCGAATACCTGGTTGATCAATTGAATTTAAGCTAATACCACTTCAACCTGGCGTCAGTTTAAAATGACGTACTCTTGTTTCCTTGTATCTAAGATTTTAATTTTCCAAAACTATAATTTTGAAAAGTAAAAGTTTAACTGGAATAATTTAGAACATTGTCAAATTTAAATCTGAAATAAACAAAATACGAACTTTCAGCAAAATTGTCAGAATAAATGGAAAAAGAAAGAAGGCATCAGTTTAAACATCGCCAGAAGCATATGTTTTTATGGTAAAATCAACCATTTTAAAAACGTAGGCCATGAGTCATAATTTCTCTTATTATGTGAAAATCATTTAGCTTTGTGTTATCGGAAAATGTGAGAAGTGCTGTTATTTTTCGATATGTTATTTTGAATTACATGTAACATATGGATTCACTGCCAATTGTTATCTATCTATCTATCTATCTATCTATCTATCTATAAGAATATGCCAATACATTTCACTGCCAACTGTTAGCTATCTTTCTTAGTCCATATAAATCTATGCCATTATATCAAAGTCAATTGTTATCTATCTAGACTCTTCAAATTTCTTTCTATCTATTTATCTATCTATCTATCTATCTATCTATCTATCACAGTCAGATTTTATCTCTCTCTTTGCCTGTTAGTAGCTATGTATGCTGTGATATATCAGTTCTGTTATGTGATCTACGTCCTATGGAGAAGTGAATGCTGGACAATCTCCTCAAAGACTTAAAGCACCAGAAATGTGGTTCTACTGAACATAGAATTAACAGAATATGTGATCAACGATCAAGTTTTAGAGAAGAAGGGAAAAAAATGGAAATTTATAACATCAGAAAGGGACAATTGAAATTTCTGGGGCACATAATGTGAAAAGTAGGCTCGGAAAATTTGATACTCACAGGACAGATTTAAGGCAAAAGGAACTGAGGTAAACAGCGCCTAACATACGTAGAGTATGGATGGCGTAATAAGGTTTAGAAGAAATAAAAAAAAATGTGCTAGAAAGAAAGTGTTATATAAGAATAAAGTGTCGCTGCCGACACTTCAATTCGAACTCAGATCGCCAGTGAGCAAATATAGGCGATGCCATTATTGAAATAAGTAGACCACTTGCTCATGGGACAAAACGCAAAAGTAGAAAGTAGCGCGACGTCTAAATGATCGCTACTTCTAGTCTATCTTCTATACTATACGGATCGTTATTTCTATTCTATCCTCTATTACTATACGGATTGCTATTCTCTATTCACTATACTATTCCTCTATTCGGATCACTATACGGATTCCTGTTTGAGCGAATATTTTCGAGCAAGTACTATTAGTCCGGGTGCTATTCGAAGGCGTCTGACACCAGTATTTTTCAACGGCGTTACTATAGTTGTATCTGCGATTACAAAGTCTCTACTACAAACGAGTTTAAGGAAAGTGACAACGAGTATTCGTTGACATTACAAAAGTGGCAACGAGTGTTCGATGACATCACAAAAAAAAAACAACAAGAAATTGCGGAGAGCCATGATCGCCGACGTTCTGAGAGGACATGCCACATAAAGAATATTTCTCAATTTTCTTTATCCTGTTTGCATTTATCTTCGTCAAGTTTCGTATATCTGACCGTTGGGACATCATACAAACAGTATTCAAAGTTATATGAGTGAATTAGTGGAAATCGTACTGAAGAAAAAGATGAACTAAGATAGACAAAATATTTTTAGAATATATTTACTTTCTTCAATTTCCCGAACGGTCTCTTTCGCTAACCCCCTGTAGATTTTATTAGAGAATTTCGATCACAACTCACTACGTGACCGGCGATTTCTTGAATGTGCGCATCTCTCTATCGATTTCGTATCTTCAACTGGGAATCATTATTTTAACAAATGTAATCCCTTCGCTGTTATATTTACGTGCGTTATTTTAAAATATTAGCGAAAAATTCTGATCTTGGAATTTAAATTAATAAATGCATTTAAAACAATAATTTTCTTAATAATTTTTATTTTATAATAATCTTAATTATCATTGTTTACTTTTGTCGAACAATAATGACATTTCTCACGAAATCAAATCAATACGGATTAACATTGGCGAGTTCGTGTAATATAGCCAGGGCAAGTTTGTGCGCTATGATTTGAAATCGAAAATTGCATGTAACTGGGACTCGAGAGAGAACTTAACATGACTCATCTTCCAATTCAAAGAAAATAATCCGCAGTACACTGAGATGGCAAAAGTTATAAGCGACCACTATATAAAGGTAACAGTAAGTGGTGCCACCGTACATTGATATCATAAAATACCCAGATCTGTGCTCTGATATCTCATGAGTGAGAAGAAATGCCGGCTAAGACTGTCCAGGGCAATAATCGGAGTTCGAATGCGAGATAACAGTGAGTGTCATCGGACACAAATTTCTGTGGATTGTTATTAAGCGAGTTTTGAAAACTAGATCATTATTTATTGTGAGACCGGAACTACCTACACAATAGACTCTTCCAGGTCTATATAAAGTATGCGACACAACACTCTAGAGAGAGACACAGAGAGACAGTGAGAGCCGCGTACGACTACCAGTATTGGACACTAACATATAGTAAGCTCTGCTTACACTATCTCTGTAACCTGTTGTTAATATATCTTTCTTACATCCAATCCGTGTTCCGTGTTTTCCTTCTGTGGTCCCGACTTTGGACCCACATCAGTGGCGACGAGAATTCGAGAAACGCACTCACGCCGAAACCTCAATACCTTACCAGTCCCACATCTGTGTCGACGAAGAATTCGAGAAACGCATTCACGTCGAAAACCGCAATACCTTGCCAGTCCCGCATCAGTGTCGACAGAAAGATTCGCGAATTTCGTTCTCCACATATCAATAGCGACAGAGTACTCGAAAAATACACAGAAACTCCACGCGTTCCCACAGCAGTGTTGAACGAGAAATTAAGTTGGTATTACTACATTAGCAATTTAAACGCAACACCCAGCGTCTACATATAAAAAATATATATTCCGGTACCAAACATCAGTGACGAACTAGCGATTAGACATCAACGGAATATTAAAGTCTGTCCAAATAACATTACGAGAACGATTTCTTACACACTCACACACAGAGAAAAAAACAATTTGTCATAAAACAAACTGACAACACAATCTTACATCTAATCCATGTTCCGTGTTTACCTTCTGTGTCCCGACTTTGGCCCCACATCATTATTTTATTTCTGTTGCTTTTAATTTTAACTCATATATCGTCATTCTAGAATCTTTGTTAAAAGCGCTCATTGAAAAAGGTATATGCTTATAAAAATACATACCCGAAAGAAATTTAGCTTAATATAAAAAATTATTTCAACTAGTATTTAAACAGTTAAATTTAATGAATGTAAAACAAAGTAATACCAATTCAATAATAATAAGGAAAAAGAAAACGTGGAGAACCATAATCTCATCCGTCCTGAAAGAACATAGAAATAAAAAAGACCTTAAAATAATAAAATACAAAATAAAAACTATTTACATTATTCGGACTATTGTCCTCTTCTTTATTCTTATACTAGCAGCATGGCCCGGCGTTGCCCGTGCTTGATTCAAAAATCGTACGACTCATACAGCAATCGCTATCACTTGACTCAAAATATTTTTGCCCTTCCTTTTCTTTAAAGGAGTGCTCTTTGCCGTGCTCATGTTGCTACATGTCTTACTTCTTGCCTATCTCACACTGCGAATTTTTTCTAAGCTCTATACTAAACATTAAATCTGTTACGAATAAAGAACTAAACAAAATGAACACAAAACGATCAGCTTTAAAAAAGGACTCGTAACTGGAAAAACCGAATTAAAAAAGAATGTTAACAACAAATACTTTTTCACACCCAACCCAGTTCTGCGGAATCAGAATCAACGTTGATTTTAAGCAAGCGAATGAGACAACTGGAGTAAAGTGTCATGCAGATTTAAATATTTTCCCACTTGTGACGAATGCAGCTACCGATTTTTTTTTGCATGCTAGCATGCTAGTTAACATTTGTGTCAGTCAGCTGTTGGCCCTTACGCTGGCCAGTAGAAAATGTCTGCAAACTACATGAAAACTGCCGTAGAAGCATGAAAACATCGATTATTTTCATTATCGATGGGAGTTGGGAAATGCAAAGATGGTCTTGGCCTTCCCACTAACTTGGTGCATGTGCATGTAAATTTTTTGTGCAAATCCGTCGAAAATTGCGGTCGTGCATTCGTTGCACACGCACACACACACACACACACACACACACACTGCCTTTTATAGATAGAGATTCACGATACTTTGGCCGTTGCATTCCAGCATTTTTCCGGCGAAATACTTTGTAATATCTAATTGGACCCCTTATTTTGTTTACCGTAGTAGATGGCCCAGTGGATAAAAGCGTTGGTTGAAGTAATCCAGTGACTTCAAACAAAGAGTTGTGAGTCCAATCCCTGGCCACAGCAGAGGTGAACAAAAACTTGGAGAGTTGAGTTACCAAAGGGAGATAACTGAAATTGACTTATCCAGAAAAGGCATGGCACGTGGAACTAAATAATGTGTTCGATTCCAAATTCTAACCTATATAACCTGAAGAAGGCCACAGCGTACAATGTCCGAAACGTCGTGAATATAACAATAAAGATAAGTCAAAATAATGTAAATATTGTAAATAGTTACAATACCTCGACTAAGAAATATAGGCAGACAAAACAGACAGAAAGACAGACCACGTCAATTCCGAATTTATATCTGTCTATATTTCTGACATGTCCTTAAGGACACATGTCACAGTAGATAAAGGCGTTGGTTAGATCCAGTGACAGGACCCAAAGAATTGTGAGTTCAATACCTGGTTAACGCATTGGAGAACTTGGAGAGGTGAATTAACAGGAGATAACTGATAACTGACATCCATTAGACATGGCACGTGAAACTAGAACAGTCTATCCCAGTGAGCGAAATAAAGGATTCAGTTCGACATTCCAACCACCTGAAGAAGGCCGGAGTGTACAACGGCCGAAACGTTGTGAATTTATTAATAAAGATAAGGACAAAGGTCTGAACTATGTAAATGGTGTAAATAGTTACAATACCTCATCTCAGAAATATAAACAGATATTAATCTAGAAGTAAGGCAACAAAGATGAGGACAATAGCCCGAATAATGTATATAGTGTTCGAATTTATATTTGAAAATTTAAAGACAAATAGCTTTTTAACTTAAAAACAGTGTTAACTTTTATTCTGATCTAATAGCTGTCTTAGTTTGTACTAACTTCCGCCATCCTTGAATAGCGACTAATTTCAAATTGATTCTGCTACTATATTAGGATTTGAAAGGTACATGCAATTGGCACCAGAATAAAAATTCCAGAACTTGGGCCCTTGGGAAAAAATATAAAAAACACTTAGCAAAAGACTTTCCTTTTTTCAGACGAAAGATATTCGCAAGATGACCGACACTATAAGCAAAATACCAATAATTATTACAATTATAGCTTGCTTTAGTTTATTTTGTTTTACGTCATATCAATCTCAGTGGGTTACTTAATGCCGAAAAAATTTTAAGATAGTTTCCTATGAAGAGAATATGTATTCTTTATAAGAAATCACTTTGTTTCATTAGTGTAT